GTAGTCAGAGCGGTTGTGAGCTTTCCTGCAGCCATATCCAGCTGCAGCTGCGCAGGGGCGAGGCAGAACTGGCTGAGAGTGGGACGTGCCTAGAGTTGTGGCTTTGCCAAGCAAGTGTGGAAAACATTAATAAATGAAAAAATAAAGACTGGAGGAAATGTAATCAGATTAAAACTCAAGACCAGGGGCAAAATTAGGAAGTGGGGACGGAGAGAAGAAGGAAAGAGAGTGAGAGAGAGAGGGGAAAAGAAGGAAGGAAATATGGTCATGTTTTACATTGGTCTTATTAGGCAATCACACAAGTGTGGATGACTATCAAATCCTGTACAGAATACCTTTTGGGGAAGGGTGGCCAGGAGGGTGCCAGAAGCCTGTGACAGCCTTGGGGGTGACCCCTGAAGTGCCTGTCCCCAGCCAACCACCTCCTTACTTCTGCTCCCACCCTGCCCCATGACAAACCTGGCTCCTTTTTCATTTGGTTTCAGTTCTGTTTGCCATAGGTGGATACATAGGGTGTATCTCCCTCCCTTCCCCCTCCCCCAACCTCCCTTTCCCATGTTAGAGAAATACTCAGAGTTGGGGCTGGACTGCTCCCCAGGAGACTTTTCTCCCAGGAGATTCGTAATAGCAAAGGTCAACAGCTTGGCAACAGGAAAGCCAACTTCTGGCTTCCAGACTGGGAAACCAAGTTGGACAGCCACAGAGCCCAGACCTCAGTGACCCTCTGGCCGCACGTCAGGGTTCTGACAAGAGAAGGAGAAGCCATCAGGAGATGGGGCCCCCTTGCTCTCCACACCTTTCTGTGTGTCCTTGGAATAGTCACCCGTTCCCCGGTTCCCAGCAGAATTGCCTGTTAGAAGATATAGATGGACCCTTACCCCAAGCTAGCGGTAGGATATAGAGATCATTATTTTCAACAGATTCCCCTGGTGATCTTAAGACACAGTTAAGCTTGGAAACTATTGATTTGTCTTTTTAGACCTCAGTTTCCCCATCTTCTGTAAAAGTTAACGCAAGAATCTAGATGTGCTTCACAAGCACAGGTTTGCTTTGAGCCCCACCACAGCCTGGAGTGTCTCCTTGTTCCCATTTTTGAGGTGGGAGGAATGGAGATTTTTTAGGCTCAAAGGGATGAAAGGGTGGGCCACACAATCTCAAGTGGCTGTTCCAGTGCTTGGCTTTTAGGACTCTAAGAGGACCCAGGTGGACCAATGGAATCCACCACACAATGCTCAGGGCTGATTCAGGATCTCACAGGCCCAGGAGACTGTCAGGTGATGGATGAGTGTGCGACGTGCCGGTGTGTCTGGGTGTGTCACAGCACATGCATGGGCAAGCTTCCTCCCCGCAGAAACCCTCCCCTCCAGCCTCTTGCCACCCATCCCATGACCCACTTTGGAAATCTCCGCTGCCACCTCTTCACTCCCTGCTAGCTCAGAGTGAGTGATTTATGCATAGTGTGGGAGTGGGGTGAGTTGGGAGGTGGGGAGGTTCAGTCTGGCTGAGTCACTTGAAGGAGGGTGGGGAGAGTAGACTGGGCCAAAGGCCACTGCTTCCGTCTGCGTCTTTTCTCTTGACAATGCCCATTGAAAAGTTGTCAGCAAGGGTTGCCGCGTGACAGGGTTTTCACTCAAGAAAAGCATTCTGCTCCTGTTCTGATGGAGGGGCAAACAGATGGGAAGAAGCCTGGAGGTCTATAGACACTTACGAAGCTATTGAAATCATTCAGGTAATCAGCACTCAGAATTGGATGTGGGGAGGAGGGGAGAATGGAGAGGCGATGGCTGTGGTGGCTGATTGGACAATGGTGTGAGCGGGGACAAGTCAAATGGGCACCTGAGGTTTTTGCTTGAGAGTCTGGGTGATTGTAGGCATTGTTCATGAGGATGGGGAACACAGAAGGGAAGGGATCATGTTACCTTCAGATTCATGTCCCAGATGCCAGGCGCCTGATGGGCCCACTGTAAAGGTCGTGAGGTGCTGAAATGTCCTCTTGGATGAGTCCTTTGAGGGGCTGTTTCTGTTTTCCTGGTGGGAGAGTGGTCTAGTTTTCTGGCACCAGGGTTAAGGTCCCTACCAGCTCCAAAGGAGCTCTGGTATGAATTAGAAACAAGCAATCTCCAGATAATGAGAGAAAATATTTGCAAATCATATATCTGATGCAGATCTAATATCTAAAATTTATCAAGAATCAAGAATTCTTACAAATCAACACTAAAAAGCAAACAACCCAACTAAAAAAGGGACAAAGGATCTGAATAAACATTTCTCCACAGTAGATATATAAATGACCAACAGCACATGGGAAGCTGTTCAGCACCATCAGTCATTAGAGAAATGCAAATCAAAACCACAATGAGAGATCATTTCACATGCACTAGGATGGCTATATAAAAGAAAAAAACAACAGATAGCAAGTGTTGGCATGGATGTGGAGGCTTTGGAACCCTCAAATATTGCTGATGGAAGTAAAAAATGATGCAGCTGCTCTGGAAAGCAGTTTGGTGGGTCCTCAGAAAGTTAAACGAAGAATAACCACCTGATCCAGCAGTTCCAATCCCAGGTGTGTACCCAAGAGAGTAAAAAACATGTTCACAGAAAAACTTGTTCAAGATGTTCATAGCAACACTATAACAGCCAAAAAAAAGGTAACAACCCAAGTAATGAATGGGTCACAAAATGTGGAACAGCCACAGAGTGGAATATTATATAGCCATAACAGGAATGGAGTGCTGATACATGCTACAGCATAGATAACCTTGCAAGTGTTATACTAAGTGAAAGAAGACAGTCACATGAGACAACATATCACACAGTGGATTCCATTTATATCAACTACAGAATAGGGGAATCTATAGAGACAGAAAGTGCGTTAGTGGTTGCCAAAGAGTGGGGAAGGAGGGAAACTGGGAGATAGGGGATTGTTTTTTGGAGGGATATAAATGTTCTGGAAATAGATAGTGGTGGTGGTTACGCAAAGTTGTGAATATATTAAAACCACCCAAGAAGCAAAATGAGCCTTTCTTCCTGCTTTAGGCATAGTGGTTGACTTTGGCCCTAGGTCTAAAATTTCTCACTCTGCACAGCCCTCCAGCTGCAGTTCCATCTAATGCTTGAATTCCTTAAGCCAGTCTTATTCCACATACCCAAACTTGCTCATTCTTTTCACTCCAAATTTGTTTCCTTTCTGTCTTCACAGAACCCCAGCAACTACCCCCTCAGACCTTTCCATGCTCCATCCTCTCCACCAAGCGACCTTCCCATTTCAAAACCCTGCTCCCTCCTCACGTCTTCCAGGAATGCTCTTGGAAGAACCCCAGTGACCTCCCATCAACTCTTTGCACTTGTGAAAACAACACAGTTGCTAGACTCTAACCTGGATTCTGCCACATAAACCCTGTGTGACTCCACAAGAATCATATAACTTCTATGGGCCTTGGTGTCCCTGTATATTGCCACATATCTTAGTCTGCTTGGCCTGCCATGAAAAACCATAGACTGGGGGACTTAAATAACACAAATGTATTTACTCATCGTTCTGGAGGCTGAAAGCCTGAGGTCAGTGTGTCAGCATAGTCAGGTTCTGATGAGAATTCTCTTCTTGGCTTGTAGACAGCTACTTTCTTGCCATGTCCTCACATGGCCTTTTCTCTGTGTATGCTCATGGGAAAGAAAGCAAGACAGAGAGAGAAAAATATGGTCATGTTTTACATTGGTCTTATTAGGCAATCACACAAGTGTGGATGACTATCAAATCCTGTACAGAATACCTTTTGGGGAAGGGTGGCCAGGAGGGTGCCAGAAGCCTGTGACAGCCTTGGGGGTGACCCCTGAAGTGCCTGTCCCCAACCAACCACCTCCTTACTTCTGCTCCCACCCTGCCCCATGACAAACCTGGCTCCTTTTTCATTTGGTTTCAGTTCTGTTTGCCATAGGTGGATACATAGGGTGTATCTCCCTCCCTTCCCCCTCCCCCAACCTCCCTTTCCCATGTTAGAGAAATACTCAGAGTTGGGGCTGGACTGCTCCCCAGGAGACTTTTCTCCCAGGAGATTCGTAATAGCAAAGGTCAACAGCTTGGCAACAGGAAAGCCAACTTCTGGCTTCCAGACTGGGAAACCAAGTTGGACAGCCACAGAGCCCAGACCTCAGTGACCCTCTGGCCGCACGTCAGGGTTCTGACAAGAGAAGGAGAAGCCATCAGGAGATGGGGCCCCCTTGCTCTCCACACCTTTCTGTGTGTCCTTGGAATAGTCACCCGTTCCCCGGTTCCCAGCAGAATTGCCTGTTAGAAGATATAGATGGACCCTTACCCCAAGCTAGCGGTAGGATATAGAGATCATTATTTTCAACAGATTCCCCTGGTGATCTTAAGACACAGTTAAGCTTGGAAACTATTGATTTGTCTTTTTAGACCTCAGTTTCCCCATCTTCTGTAAAAGTTAACGCAAGAATCTAGATGTGCTTCACAAGCACAGGTTTGCTTTGAGCCCCACCACAGCCTGGAGTGTCTCCTTGTTCCCATTTTTGAGGTGGGAGAAATGGAGATTTTTTAGGCTCAAAGGGATGAAAGGGTGGGCCACACAATCTCAAGTGGCTGTTTCAGTGCTTGGCTTTTAGGACTCTAAGAGGACCCAGGTGGACCAATGGAATCCACCACACAATGCTCAGGGCTGATTCAGGATCTCACAGGCCCAGGAGACTGTCAGGTGATGGATGAGTGTGCGACGTGCCGGTGTGTCTGGGTGTGTCACAGCACATGCATGGGCAAGCTTCCTCCCCGCAGAAACCCTCCCCTCCAGCCTCTTGCCACCCATCCCATGACCCACTTTGGAAATCTCCCCTGCCACCTCTTCACTCCCTGCTAGCTCAGAGTGAGTGATTTATGCATAGTGTGGGAGTGGGGTGAGTTGGGAGGTGGGGAGGTTCAGTCTGGCTGAGTCACTTGAAGGAGGGTGGGGAGAGTAGACTGGGCCAAAGGCCACTGCTTCCGTCTGCGTCTTTTCTCTTGACAATGCCCATTGAAAAGTTGTCAGCAAGGGTTGCCGCGTGACAGGGTTTTCACTCAAGAAAAGCATTCTGCTCCTGTTCTGATGGAGGGGCAAACAGATGGGAAGAAGCCTGGAGGTCTATAGACACTTACGAAGCTATTGAAATCATTCAGGTAATCAGCACTCAGAATTGGATGTGGGGAGGAGGGGAGAATGGAGAGGCGATGGCTGTGGTGGCTGATTGGACAATGGTGTGAGCGGGGACAAGTCAAATGGGCACCTGAGGTTTTTGCTTGAGAGTCTGGGTGATTGTAGGCATTGTTCATGAGGATGGGGAACACAGAAGGGAAGGGATCATGTTACCTTCAGATTCATGTCCCAGATGCCAGGCGCCTGGTGGGCCCACTGTAAAGGTCGTGAGGTGCTGAAATGTCCTCTTGGATGAGTCCTTTGAGGGGCTGTTTCTGTTTTCCTGGTGGGAGAGTGGTCTAGTTTTCTGGCACCAGGGTTAAGGTCCCTACCAGCTCCAAAGGAGCTCTGGTATGAATTAGAAACAAGCAATCTCCAGATAATGAGAGAAAATATTTGCAAATCATATATCTGATGCAGATCTAATATCTAAAATTTATCAAGAATCAAGAATTCTTACAAATCAACACTAAAAAGCAAACAACCCAACTAAAAAAGGGACAAAGGATCTGAATAAACATTTCTCCACAGTAGATATATAAATGACCAACAGCACATGGGAAGCTGTTCAGCACCATCAGTCATTAGAGAAATGCAAATCAAAACCACAATGAGAGATCATTTCACATGCACTAGGATGGCTATATAAAAGAAAAAAACAACAGATAGCAAGTGTTGGCATGGATGTGGAGGCTTTGGAACCCTCAAATATTGCTGATGGAAGTAAAAAATGATGCAGCTGCTCTGGAAAGCAGTTTGGTGGGTCCTCAGAAAGTTAAACGAAGAATAACCACCTGATCCAGCAGTTCCAATCCCAGGTGTGTACCCAAGAGAGTAAAAAACATGTTCACAGAAAAACTTGTTCAAGATGTTCATAGCAACACTATAACAGCCAAAAAAAAGGTAACAACCCAAGTAATGAATGGGTCACAAAATGTGGAACAGCCACAGAGTGGAATATTATATAGCCATAACAGGAATGGAGTGCTGATACATGCTACAGCATAGATAACCTTGCAAGTGTTATACTAAGTGAAAGAAGACAGTCACATGAGACAACATATCACACAGTGGATTCCATTTATATCAACTACAGAATAGGGGAATCTATAGAGACAGAAAGTGCGTTAGTGGTTGCCAAAGAGTGGGGAAGGAGGGAAACTGGGAGATAGGGGATTGTTTTTTGGAGGGATATAAATGTTCTGGAAATAGATAGTGGTGGTGGTTACGCAAAGTTGTGAATATATTAAAACCACCCAAGAAGCAAAATGAGCCTTTCTTCCTGCTTTAGGCATAGTGGTTGACTTTGGCCCTAGGTCTAAAATTTCTCACTCTGCACAGCCCTCCAGCTGCAGTTCCATCTAATGCTTGAATTCCTTAAGCCAGTCTTATTCCACATACCCAAACTTGCTCATTCTTTTCACTCCAAATTTGTTTCCTTTCTGTCTTCACAGAACCCCAGCAACTACCCCCTCAGACCTTTCCATGCTCCATCCTCTCCACCAAGCGACCTTCCCATTTCAAAACCCTGCTCCCTCCTCACGTCTTCCAGGAATGCTCTTGGAAGAACCCCAGTGACCTCCCATCAACTCTTTGCACTTGTGAAAACAACACAGTTGCTAGACTCTAACCTGGATTCTGCCACATAAACCCTGTGTGACTCCACAAGAATCATATAACTTCTATGGGCCTTGGTGTCCCTGTATATTGCCACATATCTTAGTCTGCTTGGCCTGCCATGAAAAACCATAGACTGGGGGACTTAAATAACACAAATGTATTTACTCATCGTTCTGGAGGCTGAAAGCCTGAGGTCAGTGTGTCAGCATAGTCAGGTTCTGATGAGAATTCTCTTCTTGGCTTGTAGACAGCTACTTTCTTGCCATGTCCTCACATGGCCTTTTCTCTGTGTATGCTCATGGGAAAGAAAGCAAGACAGAGAGAGACACATGCAGAGAAAGCACTCTGGTATGTCTTCTTATAAGGCCAGTAATTCCATCATGAGGGCCCCACCCTCACCTAAGTTTAATTACCTACCAAAGGTCCCACCTCCAAACACCATAGTATTGGGGATTAGGGCTTCAGCATAAAAATTGTTGGGGGAGGACACAAACATTCAGGCCATAGCACCATGCTTACCTGCCAGGTGGGATTACACAGAATTATGGATGTTTAAAGCTTTGTAAGTGCAGAGCCAGACCCTTATGAAGGGATATTACTTTTCACTGTGTGTTTCTTTCAGGGAAATACCACACACTGTTCATAAACATCTGACCTCCACTACTCAGGTGTACAAGGGCAGGGGATGTGTCTGCTGTTTTTGGAGTGTTCTCTCATCCTGTGAGGCCTTACTACCAGAAGCCAGAATCCAAAATTCCTCCTCTGTCTCCTGGGTGATGTTTTGCCTCCTCTGTCTCCTCTGTCATCCTAGAGCGATGTTTTGCCTCGGGTCATAGGTACTTGAGTTTCTGATTCTCAGGTATGACCATAAAGTTGTGAAGGTCAGGGGCTCTTCAGGGAGAGACTTCATTGCTCGACATCTCAGTTTTCTTGTTTACAAAATGGGGATAATAAGAGTGCCTATCTCATAGCATTGGGAGAGCTAAGTGAAAAAACCACAAGGTAAGCTCGTAATCTCAGTGGTGAAGGTGATGTATTAGTTATCTATGGCTGCATAACAAGTCACTCTGGCACTTAGTGGTTTGAAACATCAATAATTATTTGTTTGAGTGGGTGAGGAATTCAGGAGGGCCATAGCTGAGAAGGTCTATCCCAAGGTCTCCCATGAGGCTAAAGGCTTGACTCAGCTGAAGGATCCAATTCCATGTGGCTCACTCATGTTCCCAAGTTGGTGGTAGCTGTTGGGGAAGGGGAACCTTATTGCCCTCCAAACCGGCTTCTCCACGAGCTACTTGAGTGTCCTTATGACATGGCAGCTGGCTTACCCAGTGACTGATCCAAGAGTCCAAGAAGGAAGCTGCAATACTTCTTATGATTGAGATTCAGAAGTCACACACTGTCACTTCTGCAGTATTCTATTGGTCATGCACGTCAGCCCTAACTTAATGTGAGCTGTGCAGAAACATAAAATTCATAAGGTGAGGGTCACAGGGGCTCATCTTAGAGACTAGCTACCACAGTGATGCTGGGTATGTTCTTCATGAGACTAACTACCCAGCAACTTGAAAGTGGCTCAGCTAGGATTTGAATTCAAAACTGTCTAGCTCCATGATCTTAACCACTACCCTTTGTTGACTCCTATTATCTCCATGCAAGCAATCACTTATTCACTCAATAAACCTTGTTTAAGCACCTATTGTACTATGAGTATGCTAGATGCTGGTGATGCCCCTGCCCTCAAGGAGACCCACAGTCTAGAGGGTGTGTGGGTGGTGGAGCTAAATCCATATCTCAAGTCTTCTGTCTTCAAGTTCACTACTGTTTCTATTCTGGAATACTTGTATCAGAGGGGAAAATCACTGGAGCCTGGCAAGTCTTTTGGCAGAAAGAGGTGCAGGGGAATTACAGAAAATGAACTGAATTTGGAACCAGGAGTCCTAGGGCCTAAGTCTGTCTCTGACATTGATTTGCAGGATATCTTTGATAAGTCCCTTCCTCTCTCTGGGCTCAGTTCCCCATTTGCAGAATTGCCTGGAAGTACCTTGCCTGTGTGAGTAGTTCAGTTATCATTTATTGAGCACATACTATGGGCCAGATACTGTGCTAAGTGCACAGTAAGGAACAAGAATAGAGTTCCTGCCCTCCAGCTGCTCACATCATTGAAATGTAGGCTCAGAGACAATAAACAAATCAACCGTAAACAAACCCACTACAGCCAGCTGTGAAAACTATGAAAGGTGAGGTTATAGACAGTGGGCAGTGCTTTACCCAAGGAAGGCTTCTCCAAAGAGCAGCAACTGAGTACAGATTGAGTGATGGTGAGGTGTCCATGAGAAGATTGGGGGACAAGGGTTTAGGCAGAGGGACCAGCAAGTGCAGAGGAAACAAAAGGGACAAAAGCTGGCTGTGTTTGCTTGCAGCAGGGAACCTAGGGTGGCTGGCGGCTAGTGAGCCCAGGGATGAGGACAGAGGGTGGAGGAGTAGATGACAGGGAGCAGACCTGGGGAAGAATGCAGGTTGACTTGTAAGTCAGGTCAGAAGCCTTTGGAGGGTTTTCAGTAAGAGCGACCTGATGTGTTATCAGAAGGGCCCTTTGCATGTTGTGAGGGGAGTGGCTCTGTTCTTTCTGGCAAGACCTCTAAATATTCCAGCCTGGGAAAGCTTTAGGACTTGGGATATGGAAAGTAAGAGCACCACCTCATGTATCACTGAACAATCCACCAACCTGAGCTCACCAGCCTCCCAGCTCTTGGAGGGCCAGAGAGATGGAAATTGGCTTTGGAGAGCCATTTGCCAGGAAAGGCAACCTGGGGCTTGGGCCCCAGAAGCCATTCCTTAAATGCTCCTTGAAGTTTTCCCAAAGAGCCCTGGAACTTCTAGATACTTTTTCTAGCCAATAGAAATTGACCTTTGGTTGGATGAACCCAAACTCATACACCATGGCATTCAAGGCTCTCCCTATCTGGCTCAGTCTTCCTTCCAAACTCTGCCCACCATTCCCCAGCCTGCTCAGGCCAGCTTGACTACTTACTACCCCTTGAATGCTGCCTTTACTTTCCTCCCTCCAAAGGTTTGTTTGTGCTGTTCCCCCAACTTGAAATACCTCACTCCTCCCCACCAGATCTTGTTCAGGTATCTCTCAAGGCTCCATCTCAAAATGCATATCTTACATGAAGACATTTTGTGTTTTCTTTAGCTAGGCTTGTCTCAGCAGATTTTTAAAAGGTTTTTATTAACATTTTTTTATTGTGGTAAAATAAAAATAACATAAACTTGGCCATTTTAAGCATTTTTAAGTATACAGTTCAGTGTCATTAAGTACACTCACAGTGTTGTGCAACCATCACCACCATCCATTTCCAGA